TAAGGACCTTGGCCCAAAGATAGTTGTCATGTGTGAGGATAATAGAACTTGAGTTTGAGTGGAAAAGTTGAGCCATTTCATTGGCTTTGATCATCATATATATACATGTACATTGAAGAGATCAGTTACAAGGATAAGAATCAGAGAAGATAAGAATTATCTATAACAAATTATCTACAAAAGTAAGATAAATGTTATCTAGGGGGGGTAACATGATAACCATGAAAGCCATGCATGCAGTGGTGGAAGGATAATGGTTATCCCTTGACAGCTCCCTTCAAAGTCAATGGGGATTTACAAACGTTGAACTTGAGAATGAGATCTAGAAAACATAAGTAGGGCAAGGCTTTAGTGAGGATATCAGCCACCTGATCAGAACAGGGGATGTAGTGGATGATAATGGAACGATTAGCCACCTTCTCATGGATAAAATGAGCATAACTCGATGTTTTTGGTGTGGAACGTTGAACCTGGTTAGAGGCAAGGAATTTAGTCCCATATTATCGCACCATAAAGTAGCTGGTTGAGAGGAGGAGAAGCTAAGCTAGAGGAGCATTTTCAACAAAAGGAATTCAGTAGCAGTAGAGGCAAGACATTGATATTCAACCTCCATAATGGAATAGGAGACAACCGGCTATTTCTGAATCCTCCAAGAATGAGGTTAGGACCAAGAAAAATTGCATAGCCACTCTACGGGGGACAATCAATAGGCAACCAGGCCAATCAACATCAGTAAAAGCAGAGAGAGAAAGAGAAGCCAATGGATGAAGAAACAATCCATGAATAATTGTACCCTTCAAATAGCAGAGTATTTTTTTTTTCACTGTAGACCAATGTTCTTGAAGTTGGAGATTTGAGAAACTAGAAGACCATGTTAACAGAATAAGAAATTTCAGGCCATGTTAAGGTAACATATTGTAGAGTGGGGTCAGCCAATAAATCGCCACTACCAGTAGAAAGTCTAGTAGAAGAAGCAATCGGTGTGGAAGCAAGTTTTGCCTCATGCATTCCGGCATGGACAGTAAGTCATGCACATACTTATGCTGAGAGAGATGATTACCATCCTGAGAGCAATGCATCTCAACACCCAAAAAATAATGAGTAAGACCAGGGTCCTTGAGAGTAAACTGAGAGAATAATTCAAAGATGAGAGAAGAGATGACAGTGGAGCAGGAACCGATAATTAGTATGTCATCGACATVCGCAAGTAATATAAGAATTGTGGAGCCAGAGCACCTAGTWAATAGAGAGGTGTAAACCCTTGATTCAATGTACTTGATAGAGACCAGGGTCCTTGAGAGTAAACTGAGAGAATAATTCAAAGATGAGAGAAGAGATGACAGTGGAGCAGGAACCGATAATTAGTATGTCATCGACATGCGCAAGTAATATAAGAATTGTGGAGCCAGAGCACCTAGTAAATAGAGAGGTGTAAACCCTTGATTCAATGTACTTGAGAGAGAGGAGAAAAGTATGAAGTTGAGTTAACCAAGCACGAGGTGCTTGTTTGAGGCCATATAAACTTTTGTGTGGTCGGCTCACATGGTTAGGAAACGAAGGATCAGTGAAGCCAACCGATTGTTTCATAAACACTTCTTCATCAAGAACGTCATGAAGAAAGGCGTTACTAACATCCAATTGGTGAATGTCCCAGTGGAAAATAGTACAAAGGAGAGAATGAGCCTAATTGTTGTAGTCTTAACCATTGAGTTGAATGTCTCAAAAAAATCAATTCCTGCTTCTTGTGTAAAGCCCTTAACAACAAGGCGGGATTTAAAACACTCAACAAAGCCATCAGGTTGTCCTTTTATTTTGAATACCCACTAGTTACCAATGAAGTTTTTATTAGGAGGTTGAGAAACTAAGGTCCAAATCTGGTTAGCCATGAGGGCTTTGTACTCATCGGCCATGGAAAGAACCCAACGAGGGTCCTTGGAAGCAATGGAAAAGGAGGTTGGCTCAACGTTTGGCAATAGACCTGCTTCTAGTGCATAGCAAGGACTAGGTTTGAAAATACCATGGCACGATTGAGTTTCCATGGTATGTCTAATAGCCAAGGAGTGGTTGAAGTAGGCATCGGTTTAGGCACTGGTTCAGGCACTAGTTCAGGGAGCCGCTGGGTAGAAGTGGATGGTGCACCAACAATGGTTGGCTCAGTGGAAGATTCAGGGATTGGCTCAGAAAAAAAATGAGGTGGTGGTCAAACCAATTACCGAGGAGAGGGAGATACTAGAGGTGTGGGACTAAAACCCAGTAGAATCAGTAAGGGCCCATTTGCTTTTTGGTAAGTTACTTACCCAGGTAAATGCACTTATCCGGGTAAGTATTTCCTCCATGTTCTTTTATTTCCTAGGTAAATAATGTAATTACCATTTTAGCCATAAAAATCCATTACTAAAAGTGGCATTTTTATCCCATTCAAGTGTTAGTAACTTTCCCCCTATGTGGGAAAGTCCCATTAACCAACTTTCCCCCCTCCCAAAATCCAAAAAAAGAACACCCCTTAAATGGAAAGTGTTGCTCATTGAAAACCACATTGTGAGAAATATAGATGTAACCTATTGGTAAGTGCAAGCATTTGTAGTGTTTATTGTGGAGACTATAACCAGTGAAAACACATTCATCTTATCATAATTCCAGTTTAGACCGCCGGTAGGGACACAAGTGGGGAAAACAAGAGCAACCAATAACTCAAAGTAATGAATAATCCGGGTTAGGTGAAAAGAGTTATCATTACAACCTAGTAAATTCTCAACATAATTTTTGAAATTGATAAAAATATTTGGAACGGCAGAATTGCTTCGCATAGGATGGATCCATGCATATAAATCGGCTATAGCCATCAATAAATGATATGTAGTAATGATAGCCATCCATTATAGATATCAGAGCAAGTCGCCAAACATCTGTAATAATTAATTCAAGAGGTTTATTGGCAATATATGAACTAGCTTTGAAGGGCAAAACATGGCTCTTGCCTTTGGAGCAAGCAGTGCAAAAATGAGAAATAACAAGAGAAGTGATTTTGGAATTGGGATGACCCAATCGTTGATGCCATATATCCTTGTTGGTGTGTTCCCCGACGAAACCAGAAACATGATGGGAGGAGCCACGAACAGTGGAAACTTTGTAGAGACCATTCTTAATCAGACCTTGAAATAGGAGCCTCTTCATCATTCGGTCCTTGACACGAAAGCCAAGAGAGACAAAAATAAACACAATAAGCCGAGATAGGGCTCTCGAATGGAAATATTCTCAAGTGCTGAGGTCAAGTGATTGTAAGCTCTTGAATATGGAAAGAGGATTCAGAGTCCTTTTTCTTGTTGGCAATAATATTGTCTGAAAGAGAGTTACCGAACAGAGAGTGGCAAGCAAGTCTCTTCTCAAAGGTGATTAAGAGCCTTTGTACGTCTGGAATGGTTATTTCATCCAAATGAGTAGTAACAGAAATAACAAATGTATCATATTCAGTGGGCAAACCTCCAAAAATGTAGTGAATTAAATCAATGTCTAAAACAATGTAACACGATGCAACCAAGGCATCAGATAAAGACTTCACCTTTTGGATGTAATCAGTGATGGATAAATCACCTTTTCGAACATGAGCAAATTAACTCGAATTGAGTCGATCCCACACTTGCTTTGAAGTTGTATAACCAACAGCTTGAGCTAATACAAGTTAAATGAGGGAAGAGAGAATCCAACCGAGGATGAGTTGATCCTGTTCAACCCAAGCCGAGAAGTTTGGATTTGAAACTTGTTGATCATATGATCCATCCAAGTGTTGCGGCGGGCACGGAAACAATCCGTCAACATATCTAAGAAGTCGATTTCCTTTGAAAACCGGAATGACCTGTGCACTCCATAGGAGATAATTGTGTCTATCGAGTTTGATTGAGATCAAATTCATGAAGTTGGACAGTGCTACTACGATGATGGTATGTATAGCATTGCTACTCTCACCTTGAGTCTGAGAGGATGACATTGTTGTGGCCATAACAGGAGCTGAGTGATGACGTGAGTCTACTGAATGCTCTGAATTATACCATAATAGAACTCGAGTTTGAATGGAAAAGTTGAATCGTTCCATTGGCTTTGATCATCATATATATACATGTACATGGAGGAGATAAGAATTATCTACAACACAGTAAGATAAACGTTGGGATGATAACGTGATAACCATGCAAACCATGCATGCAGTGGTGGTAGGATAATCGTTATCCCTCGACAGAGGAGTATAATTGCTTCCAGGCTTCCATAAATTCCAGAACTCTCGCGTGATGCAATTAAGAGTCGAACACATTGAGATTGGAAGTAAGTTGATTGGAGGAAATGGAAAAGAGTGCCTACATAATGAGTATGGTTTTTCCAAATACCACCATTAGAGTTACATTCCTTGGGAGGCAACCACGTCCATGACTAACCGTCTCGGAATTGGAGATGCATTCCTACTGAACAGGATCGACGACTTTTCCTAATTGTTTTATTGCCCAAACAATCTACAAAAACTAAGAAAACAAAAGCATCTCCAGTACAGGACAATTTTTTTCCAAGAGAAGTAAATCATCTGTGAAAAGAAGATGATTCAACTTGTACCTGGAAGTCTGGAATATCCCTAATGTATCATTTGTGGGCTCAAAATTAAGAAAACAAAAGCATTGCAGCTCTATTACGAGCCCTGATATTGGTGGAGTCTGATTACCAGTCAGCATGCAGCAGGAAGCTATGGAAGGGGGGGGGAGGGCGGTAGGAACCTTTAATTCCTACATATTTTCCATGCATATAGCCCATTGTGGCCTGGGATCTAGGAACCTTTTCTACTTTTCTGCCCTCTCATAGGTCATTATTTGCCACATATATGAATGACTCTTACCCAACAGAATTGCTTAAACACAAATTAACAAGATGACATGCATGATTTAGTCGTCTGATTGATACCTATACAAGAGTCTTAATAAAAATTCCAACAAGAAATTCAACAGAAACTTTGAGCCAAAACAAACAATTTTGATCAAATTAATGCTGATATTTATACAGACCACGACCGCCTGAGTTAATCTCCATGTTGGCCATTGGCGTTCTCACCAATAGCTTTGAGCTACACACAGTACATCTTACAACCGACCGGACAATTCTAATTACAAGCATACAAAGTCCAAGTACGTAGGTAGATACCTAGGTACGACATCACCTACAACTTCACTGGATTTGACTCGGTATCTTTCAAAGGACAAAAGTACACAGTTGATTAAAATAAAGAACAGAGTAGGGACCCAGAACCATCATCTAAGAACTGATGTGTAAAGGACAATAGACAACAAAAAGAAATCACAGATTCGTTTTTTTAGCAAAAACAATCACAGATTGTTTCCCCTTTTATGGTGCTTTAAAAAGTTTCCACTGACATTGAGAATCAGTTCCCATTTGCTCCCCTTTGAGTTGCATTCCAATTTAACAATGAAAACTAATGCAAAAGGGCTAGAGGAAAAATAATGTAATAGCTAGGCTTTCATTTATTTGGTATTTTGGTCTCCTTAGGCCTCAGCTCTATCCCCTGAACATTGAGGCCAGACTTCCAATGACCACCTTTCACCTCTAACAGACTCATCTGCACCTCTCCATCCTCACCCTTGCCGATGTAAAACTCACCCATCTGCACTTCCAGCCACCCATCACCTCTCTCTTCAGGGAACTGCCCCTCCAAATCCAACATCTGTTGTGGCAACCTAATCGGAATTGGTGGTCTTATTGAGGTGCTTAACCTAAGCGTCCTCTGAAACAACCCCGTATTCCTTAGCCTTCCAAACTGCGCATTCTTCCGGCTATCTGGATCCAAGTAAGCGGTCTGCACCTTACCAGTGCCAACACCACTTCGTCCTCCTCCCACAAATTTCACTACCACGTCCACTGGTTGGTAGTCGAACCCCATGCTCCCCTCTGCAAACTTGAATATAAATTTGGCTATGTATGTTGTTTCTGGGGACAGCATTCGCGTATCAACCTTCCCATCAATTTGTAGCCAGCAAACTTCCTCCAGATGAGCAACCTCACCAAACCTATACATGTCAAATCCAAGTTTAAGAGCGTCTACATGAAGGATGAATGAATGAATGAATGAGAGAGAGAGAGAGAGAGAGAGACCTTGACTCAGGGACAGATGGCCATGTCCAATTGCTAGTAGAACCTCCCCATGCAATGGAAAGCCTTCTTGCGCCTAGTGTATAACATTTCCTCCCAGACAATTTATCCAGCGCAAAGCTCTGTTCAAAGGCCAATTCCAAATTAGATATGAGAGACAGAGAGACACCAACGTCGAGTGCATGGCATTTAATGGAACACTTGTCAGGAAAAAGTACAGGATAAAAGTGCAGGAGAGGTTCTCAGCCCACATCAACCGTGGTCCTCTGTCGAATCTTTGTTCTTTCTTTATAATAGAATAGAAAAGAAAGAGGAAGCTTTTTTTTAAAAAAATCAAAAGCCACTTTGCCTTAAAGGTTCCTCAGCCCACAATATGTACATCTTTGCTGCATTGGGATCTCAAGTCTACTCCCACATCAATCCACCTTCAAACTACTTTACATACCAAACTCTGAACCCAACTTTCTAAATTATACTTTTGGTTAAAACCTAATTATTCTATCCGCATTGATCTGTTTTTTCTTTTTTTTTTTTACTTTTCATATTTTATTAATTAGGATTTAGAATTTCCAACTTTTATTAAGTTTAACAAAATTTTCTCTTCCCTTTCTGCATTTTTTGTTCCCTGATTAATTTTTCTTCAATTCTCCAATAATTGATTGCATGCTTAAGATGGGACTGTAGGAGAAAGAGAGAACACCTAATTTATTGGCCCACTAAATAATTTCATTGTACAGGGCCCACTAAGTAGTAAATATATATAATACTTTGAAATCTGCATTTGTACAACTCATTTGAAATTCAACAATTTATACTTTATCAAACTCATTTCAAAATTAACAGTTCCTAAATGGTATAAGTTGTTTTGAAGAGATTAGAATCCAAAAACTGATTAAGATTAAAGCATTTTTAAATTCAAGAAAAAGATAAAAGGAAACCATGATCTTTGGTTTATGGGGATATTCTGGAATGATGAACTGAATGTAGGGAAAATAGAAGTGAGATGTATATATAATATGGAAATGGAACAGAAGCGGCATTTTAGAAAAATAAGATGAATGGTACTGTATGTCCACCCATCCATGGGAAGAAGCGAAGAAGGACCAATTCAACAGAAATAGGATAAGAACTATTACCATATAACCATCGTCTATGAGGATGGGGTCATCACATAGACGAAAATACAATTCCTTCTTGGAAGAAAAATCCACAGATGAAACAGATCTGGAGAGTATGTTCTTATAATCAGATGGTAGAAATTTCTCCCATACAGAGTCCGAATCCGCTGCTGATCGGAAGATAAGCGACACCGCCGACGACCTACATGCTTCTAGGGGAGACGTAAAGGATATGATCTTGGAGATGCATTCTAAAGGAAGAACATTGAAACCCGTCACCATGCTACCTTATTCTCTCTCTCTCTGTATATTTATATTATATATGGCGCTTCTCTTCACAGTTCACACTCACACAACGCTGGCACTCAGTCGCAGTCTCCAAGGTTCTGTTATATATGTACAGAGAAGATTGCAACGATATCAACTAACGAAGAAGGCTTCACCGCTAAGGATATTTCGTTTTCTTTTTCGCTTTTCCTAATTAATTTTCATTATTCTCAGTATCTGTGTCTTTATGGAAAAGAGAAGAAAGAGAGAAAGAGAGGCCATCAATGAGCAAAGAACCCTTCGTGGCTAAGATTCTAAGTTGGATATTACGGGGGGAGTGTTTGTTTACTGAAAGGGAAAAGAAGGCAGATTTGGATATTGGAGATCTCTGTGACTGTGAGACCAAAGAATTTACGTTATGGGTTCGTTTATTATGACCAAAATACCCCTATGATCGTTGAGGCTTCACGTAACTCATTATGCATATATACGTGCAACTTGGGCCGGGTTGACCCGATCCCAATCTGAAAAAATCGGGTTGGGCTGGATCAGGTTGTCATTCAGATTAGGGTAATGGATGATCTTTGCTAATCTTACTTCAATTTGGATTGGATAAGGGATGATCCATCGGGCAACCGAGCTCTACTATTAGTCTATTACTATGCTATATAATATCAATAATTCATTTATCTTAACTATTAGTGCTGTCAATGGATTTCAAAAGATGGATGCGCTATTGGGCATGTTACTTGTATGTGATTGTATTGGATACAGATTTAATCCACTCGATCTAATTAAAATCTGTTTCAGATTTAAAAATATTATTGTATGTATAATTTATAATTGATAAATTTAATATTTTATATTTATATATGTTTATTGTAAATGTAAAAGTTAAAAGTAACTAGTAACTAGTGGGGATTCGTGCAATGCATGACATTTATTAAGCAAAACCTAAATAATAGAAAAGGTTATTTAATAAAATACCTCTTATAGTTTCATCCCTTTACTAAATCTACCCTATAGTTAGCATTTTACTAAAACACCATTTATAATTTGCAATGGATTTAATCAATCTTCTATTAGATGATAGTAAATGACAGTGTTGACCCTAATGTTCATTTAAATAAATTTAATCAAAAGAAAATAAAAATGACAATACCATTTTTGCCCTTAATAAGACACAGACAACCACTCTATTAGCTTTATTTGGTAAAATTTGATTTTTATACAAAAAAAGTATTAAGGGTATTTTTGAAATAAAAATTATGGGACTAATGGCAAAACAAACACTCTTTAATGAAAGGTTGATTAAGTAAATAAGTTGTAAAATATATGGGATGTTTTAGTAAAATGAAAACTATAAGGTAGGTTTAAGTAATATGTAAAACTATAAGGTTTGTTCTAGTAAATAAACCTAATAAAACACATAAGAGTATACAATTGTTTTATATTTTTAACTTTTAAATAATTAATAATTATTCATATTTTATATACTACTTTTAATAAAATTTTTATAATACAAAAATAAAAATAATTAATTTCAGTTAGCTTTATTCATCAAACTGATGAAACCATTCAACACGAACCGAGTTGGTTAGTTTTCTAGTATTTTAAGTTAGCTTTGGTTCAAAAATTTCCCAATTCGATCAAGTTGGATCAGTTTCACTTTGGCCATTTGTAAACCAACCAAAATCGGATGACCTAACCAATATAATATATATATATATATATATATTTTGTTTTAAATATAATTTTTAATATGGAAAAGTGGGAAATTTTCCATATTTCTTAGTCTAAAATGTTTTATATTATAAATCTAATTTTTAAATTTATTTTTTAATAATTGCACTGTAATTTTTAAAATTTAATTTAATTTTTAAGTTTAAATCTATTGAACCGATTAATCAACTAACAAGTCGACCCAAAATGATACAACTTGAGTGGGTCGGTTTTCACAAGAGGTCAACCGGTTTCAGCTAACCAACTCCCCAACCTGACCAAGTCAATTTGGTTGGCCAAATAGCCTACAACCAAACCAACTCATGAATACTCATAATTTCATCTAAATTAATAGTCTCATCTCTAATAAATAACTATATTTTAATCTCCAATAATTATTGAAAATTTATAGTGAAAATACACAATTATTGAAAATATATTCATATTGAAAAATACAATAATTACAAAAATACAAGAAGTACTAAAAATATATTAGATTGGTCAATAAATAGTATAATCTCAAATATTAGTTTAGACTCCAATAAATATTAATCAATAAGTTATAACAAAAATACCATAAATACAATAAGTACAATAAATTAAAATTAAAATTTTCAATAATAGTAGCTTAATCTCCAATAACTATTGAAAGTTTTATGTTAAATAACAAAACAAAATAAATTTATACATAATCATTGAAAATACATTTATCACAAAAAACAATAAATAATTACTGAAATACAATAAATATTAATTTTAGTATATATAATTATATAATAAATACAGATTAAAAGTTTAACATTATTATTAATATATATAAATTGAAATTCCAACACAGTTCAAAACCACATTTCAGCATTGCTTGGTGTAGAAGATCTCCCTCACATACATTGAAATCACACCCAATTGACAGTGCTTAGTCTTATCTATAAATAGTTGTAAATTATAGTTGTTTGCCTTATTTTCTTTCCATCTTTAGTTTTTTATTTTGCTTCCTTTCTATCTTTAGCTTCTTTTGGTTAGCATTAAAAGAACTTATCTTCTCTTAGATCCCCAAGTGTGACCACCTAGAAACTTATAGGATTGCTTGCAAACTTGAATATGTGGTTGCATTCTCCCCTTGTTCTATGTTACTTTTCTATTCACTTCTCTTGCATGTTTAAACACTCACAATTACACACACTATCATGAAAATAGAATTAAAATCCTATTTTACCTATTAGAGGAAGGACAGTAGGCATGTACCTTTAGGCTTTGGTTCTCAAAGTTTCCACCAAAACTTTCAAACTAGCTACCAACAAAAGAAGCCCATTTATCCATAGGTGGAGGTTTGAAGGCTAGCAACCTTGTTGGAACCTCTAAGTCTAGAATCCACCTAACAATTTCATGTATCACACCTAGAATACCCATACATAGAAGCCTTAGAGGAAAATAGGATAGAGGAACTATAGTGTAATTAGGACTAGGACACCATGAGTGTTGCATTGAGTGGTTGCCATCTTTAGAAATAGGATAAAAAAAATGAATCGCAAATTCTTTCAACCCTTTAAACAAAAAAAAGGAGATTTGATCTTCCATTAAAAAATGCTAAAAGTCACCAAGGGAAACACCTAAGCCCAATTTTCCATGTCTAAGCTAGATCCCATGTAAGCTTCAACATATCAAAATCTTGAATCAAAGTCAAAGAACAATAATAATGTAAGATAAAAACATCAAAACCAATTAAATAAAAAAAACAAATCAAAATCAATTCTACAAATTTCATCTAAGATTCAAATTACAATAGTAAGAAATTAAGAATAAGAAATCTAGGAATTATGATCAAAATCAAAACTACAATCATCAGAATCTGAAACTCTCATCTAAAATGTCTATCTTCCGACTCAAGGTTTTTGTTCCCTATCTTAGATAAGTAGATACATGACTCTATGAGATCAACTCTTGACAAATAGCATCAAAAGGCCATTTTTTACCCCTTTCATTATTTGTCTTGTGTCCATCTCTTGGCTAAGTAGATGCATGAGTATATGTACTTAGCTCTTAAGAAGTAGCATCAAAAGGCCAATTTTTTGGAGCCTCTTCTATCTTGTGTTCATCTCTTGGCTAAGTAAGTACCTGACTCTATCAAAACTCCACCTTGACTCATTTTAAGTATTTAAACTTTGGGAGTGTCTAGTAGCTATATATATGTATATATGGTATAGGGTCCAACCTTCCCTTGGCTAGTACCAAAGGATGCTTTATTCCCTCAATCGAACTTGGGCCTAGTAGATGTTTGGCTCTATGAGTTACTCTTGAGAAATAATATCAAAAGCCCACTTCGAACTTCATACCTTCAAAACTCTAGATGTCAAGTAGGTACACATATGGTGTAGGGATTGGTATTCCTTAGTCAGAATCAAAAAGACATTCTCATGTTCCTTCATAAACTTTCAAATTCAAATATCTTTTTTGCTCTTCTCCAAATTGAGTAGATGTTTAACCCAATGAATTTGATCTTGGGGAGCAACATAAAAAAGGTTGTTGTTGCATAAACATGGTGCAGGGACTAATTACTCTCGACATTTCCCTCTAGTCTTAACCTTTTTGCAAAACCCAAAAGTCTTTTCTAGAACTAAAAGTCTTTTCTAAATTAGAACTTGATCCTAATTAAAACACTAGTTGCCCAAGTCCCAATATTAATAATAAAAATGAGGGAAAATAACATGTAACAAATAGAATCAAATCCCAATACCTAACTCATAATAAAATTCTATTTCCAGAATCATTCGATATAGAAATCTATAAAGTCAACAACAACAAAATAAAGGAAAAGCTTATAAAATGAAGTGAAATAAATTGTCAAACCATCAAGTTCTATTATAAGGATTATCAAATAAAGTCTCCTTATCAAATCCTAACTTATATAATTCCAAGTCATGTATACTCAATTGCAAAAGTCAACATTCCATAAACTTGAGAAAATATCAAAGTCTATGAATACTCTTTCAATCTTATCAAAATCGACATAGTTAATCAATTTTCCTCAAATCCCAAAAGACTTTTCAAAGTTTCTTTAAACATTTGATTTGTTTTCCAACTTCAAACTCAAACTTTGTTTTCACTTTCTAAATGTTTTTCCCAATTTTAAGCAAAGGTCCACTAATTTAAGACATGCACCTTAAATAACCTAGTCAAATTGCCCATAGATCCCTACACTTCCTTGCTGGGTTCCCTTTACCCACTCCAAGGAAGCAATCTTATCTAATTACCTACATAGCTAGCCTTCTTAAGAGCCCTCTAATCAATAGTTAGACAATCATAGAATATGATCAATTCCTCTCTTTTGACCAACACTTGTGTAGATGCTTCAACTCTAGCACTTCACACCAA